AAGAACCCAAAAGGGTGGTGGACTCGGGGACAGATGATGCCGAAGGTGGTGGGCAAACCTCCTCCCCAAGAATCCGGGAAACGTCAGCCCTAAGGCCCCGCATACCGGATAACACATGCTGGGCCTCAACCTCAGCAGCCTCAGGGTCTCCCTCATCCTGGAAGTCCTCCTCTGAGGGCAAGCCCTCCTGAGGACTGTCGTCAGACGACTCGGAAAGACCAGCGTCTATATCCGAACAACCAGGTGAAAGATGAACAACATCATTGTCCTCTGCCATACCCGCGCCCTCAACGTCCATAGCCTCCACACCATCCAGACCAGAAGCCTGGGGCGGAGGAAATGGGCCAGCCAGAGGGGCCAACCCGAGAGAAGGCTCCCCGTACCGGCGTTTAGGTGCAGTGCGCCTAACGGCCGTGGCTGTAGGTTTAGGCTTAGTAGCCAAAACCCTACCCTTGGACCCAGAGACCAACGAGCCTGCCCGAGAGGCAGAAGTCCTAAAGGTCCGACACACCTTCTTAGGACCGGCCGATAAGGCCCCCGAAGTAGCAGAAAGTTGGGGGGGGTCAACAGAACTGCTAACACGTCTCCGCGAGGGAGAGACCAAACCCCAAGGATTCCATGACGGAAATGCCATGGGGTTAAACCCATATCCCGGAGGATAGGGGAAAGGTCCCGCGGGCTGGGAGTGACCCCAGAACTGGCCAAACTGGCCTGCCTGAGACTGGGGCTGGCCAACTTGCCCAAAGGGCGAAGGTGGACCGCCACTCCCTCCAGGTGGAAACCCGGACATGTACGGGCTAAGCCCGTAACTGCCGGGATGCTGTCGCAACCCAAAACCATCCGCAGGCTGGTAAGGGCGGCCCAAGGATGGTTGCCCGCAGGCACCCGTATACCCTAAGCCAGGGGAAAACGGAGGCCGGAAACCGGCCCCCTGTCCAGCAAACCCAACCCCTGGGGGGAAACCCCCCAGGTTCCCAGAAGAATGAAACTCGGGACCGGACCTAATAGGACCGGGTCCGGGTAACTGACCGGGAGGGTATGCCTGACCAGCATTGATGCCGGGATTAGTGAGCTGCGCGTCACTAATCCCGGTAGACACAGACAATCCCGAAAGAAAGTCTGTTGTCACACCAGGACCTGAACCCGAAAGAACAGGCCCGGCACCAAGACTGTCCCCAACGACCGCACCACCTGGAATGCCGGGATCACTGACAGAGTCAGTGACCGGCGGCCGGTAGTCCCTACCCGAAGGCAAGCGCGAAAGCTTACGGGCGTTCCCGGCCAATTCGACCCTTGGCTGTGCCAAGCCAGGGTCAGGCTGCCCCTCCCCTACTCCAGGGAGTTCCTGGACAGGAAGGGCCACCCCCTGCTCACGAGAGGGACTTGCCGAAGCAAGACCCCCCGAGACAGGAACAGAGACAGTACCACCAGACCCCAGAGAGCTGGTGGCACGACCCCTACCTCTCTGCTTCCCTCGCTTACCGGAAGAAACAGACGAATCTGTCTTACGGTAAGTTGAGGGTAGCTTTGGAACAATGAAGTCCTTGCCCTGAGATTTTGACTGTGAACAAAGTTCACAAGGCGAAACCTCACTGCAAGGACGACACCTGGGACAGGCATCATGAGGGTCCCGTTCCACAAAGAAATGGGAACACCCATGAGCACTACCTCGTCGCTGTCCCGACCGAGACATACCCTCCAAAGCGAACGTAAACAAAAAATTTACAAGCAGATAAAACGGGAAAATAAGGATAAAATACGATAGTACAAAGTACGCAACGTAGAAAGAATTTCACCCGTAATATAAATCAGAAAACGGTTAAAATAAATAACGTTTGCCGAAACAAACAACCGTCACCGAAATAAACAGAGGTCGGAAATTAACCCACGATAATGGCGGACCGTGGCACACCACCGGCACACGTGGAGTAAAATAACCGGCCGTAAAAGGCACAAAAATAATTTTCAACAACAATTAGTTATATCAATAAGGGCAGATGGGTAAAAGGCACACAAACTGCGCAAAAATATGAGTTGACACTCAAACCAAACCGACAAAACAAAGTTTTAAATTGGAGCAAGCTCCGTGCGTCAGCATGCAGCAGGCGCCATAAAAGGAAGAGGAAGGGAGATCACTCCGTGGCTCTGTCATCGAGATAGAGGTTACGTCACGGTAGGGAGGTAGGGATATTTGAATCATTTGTTTTTGGGCTACAAAGATTGGTGTAGGTATTGTATATGCATACTAAAGTTATGGTAATTATTACTGAAATGAAATGAAGTGTTTGTTTTTCTCAAGTCACTATTCTTCATTGCTGGGTTATTAGAACTGTCCTTCCAGTCGCTGAAGCTCTGGTATTTAAATCCGGCATTCGTGTTATTGAGTTGTGTGCTATAGTTACAACACAGATTGTTGGACAGTGTTGGGCGGGTCTCTGAATGGAATGGTATAGTCTCGGAATGATTGTTGTGTTTCCGAGTTGTGTAGTATATTGAAGAATACGTTTGCTTTTATTCAGTTTTACTGGAATTACTTGGCGAGTCATATACAATGAGGAAAGAATTGTCAAATTCGGTTCGAAAGTTCGTTGAGATTCGAAGACTGAGAAACCAAATTCCTCGGAAAGGACTATACTTGTCTTAATGGGGTTCATCAGTTAGAAAATAAGTATTGATCAAAGTTTTACTTTATACACAAACAATATGATTATCAAACGTGTCGCAACATTTCAAGATCAAATGGTCTGTTTGCTAAATTGTAGCTTGATAAAAAGGACCAGTCGGTCTTGTAATGTTGCGGCACGATGTACATTGTTTGTGTATAGAGGATAACTTTGATACGGACTAAAGTTGGGCAGTGGACAGTGGAACCGTAGCCATTTATAGATCTATGCTTTAGTTATCCGATCTGTAATACTTTGCTATCGTCATGTACCTTGGTCAGGCCATTTTCTTTACTTAGTATCTCCTCCAATGTCGAACGTGGCATGGGAGTCAATTATAACATTGAGAAGTTCTTTCTAGTATATCACAAATATGATGATGTGTAGGCACACTTGTCATGCATTTCGTTTGGAGAAGTCTCGCCGATAACACTTTCTATTGGTAGAAAGTTCCACAAACCATAAAGAATTGTCTGTTTAGAAACAATGGGAGTATATAGGTGGGTGTTTCAGAGACCGAGTAATCACTCCCTCTTCGTATGTATAACACACTCTGCTAGTTCCCAGTTACAAGCGTAGGGTATTCGGATGAAAGGTGACAAGTTAGATACCATGGATAAAACAGTTAAAACCATCTAACATTCGAAATACCTCTCGAAATTTTAGGTTCCAAATAATAGGGTACAGGAAATTTCAAGAACAGAACAGATGTGCTAAGGATTATAGAGCAAACACGTGTTGTGGTAAAGGTGACCAGTCAATGTGGATGCAACGGCTAGCCCATGATTGGTAAAACTAATGTATACATTAAACACAAATTAGGTCGTACAACGAATTCCATATTTATAACAAGGGCATCACTACATCTTCCTTAAGCTATTTTGTTAGGAACTCCAGATTGAGAGTTTCTGAGAAAAGTATTAAATATGAACATTAATTTATCAATTTAATCATAATATTATCTGCTTGTTTTAGTGTGTAATAACATAATAACATGCAAAGTACATAAGAATAATGTGTTATTGCACTAAACATAAACGTTTGATATGTGAAAATGTATTTAACGGTATTATTTTATGCAGGTAGGTAAATATGTCGTGTTTAATTTCAGATTTTTAAGTTTTTACATTTACGTAACTAGATAAGAAGTATAATATGGTGACAAAAGTATTATTGCGTATAACTAGATACTTTAAGTAAATGTTATAAAATGTCGTGACAAGCGGTTTTATTGTACATGGGTAAACATAGGATTTACTTTCATATACTAGTCTTATCTGCTTTTATTTGTTCTTACGTCTATGGAACTCGTTGACATATTTTACATAAAATGAATGTTATTCGATCGCATGCGTACTGTGATGTTAACCATACAGCGACAGTCCGGGAACTATCGAAAGCAGAGACGAACATTAATTTTATTATCGCCAAAATAATGAGAGTCTGGTGAATAATTGTGTCAGAGTTGTTCCAACGGCTGGGAATAATAATCCCACATCGTCCAAAAAACCCACATTACAAGAATAAGCAGCGTTAACAAGCCCTAAAGAGTGCACGGGTCAACACACGTGATTTAATATTGGTTATTATGTCTCCGGTACACGACACTTCCCGGCGTAATAGTACTTTTATCGTGTGGTAACGCTGTACCGACACGGGGGCATTACAATCACACATGTTCCTCACTCTCTGACATTTTGCATTGAGAATAATTGTCCAAGATAAAAATATTATCAACATCATTTACATGAATAACAATCGTGTCCTATATTCTTATCTGATGGATTAAATGTCAGAGTGTCTAGACGCAAATAAATCACATATCAAATGCTTTAATCAAATGTTTACGGGCTATACATTTTTCTATATTCATCAGCATTATCTCACGTTTCGTTGGAGGCTGCTACGGTTTATTGGATTTTGTGTTTTGTCCATTCTCTGTAATAATTGGCTATATGTAGGTATAAGATTTCCGGAAGGAACATCTGGATTCAAATGTCTGGGGACGGAGTCGGAAAGAACATCGCATCATCATCGATTGATCCGAATATTAAGTAATCCAGCAAACAATCCGTGTTAGCCGAGGTTTCTACCTGGCATTCAGTACATGGGGATTTTAGTTAACTTAATCGTGAATTTGATTTGTGGTTAATTTTAAGACCTACATGATTGCATTAGAAGCACGTGCAGTTTGGTTATAGCATGAACAAGACTCCTGTACCTAAATGTCAACTACTTGTGTTATGACGAAATATGAGGAAATTTAGCAACGGTGATTAATTGACATTTGATATCATACGAAGTCTAGAGAATAAGAACACGAATAACAATATCAGAATTCTTTATTTGTGATCATCCCATCCGAAGTCTTCACCCGTAATTTCGTAAAATCGTTTATTAAATGGTCTGTAGAAATCCCTGAGACGTTTGACTAGCCGGGGTGTAACTGTGGGGTAATGTTTGGCCCCGTTCACTCCCACACACCTGGGTTTCCCGTGTCGCTCGTGCTTCTTCACGCACGGAAATCCACGTGTTTTGTTAAAATACAAATGTTTTGAGGTAATTATACGTTTGAGACCGAGAAAATCTTGTACCTTTGCTATCTCCCCTGCCGGATCGGCCACAAGTCTTTCACCGCTCACAAAGTGAATCTGATTCAAGGAAAAGTATTGTAACCATCGTACAAGACTTTTAGAGTAAACACCATTGCACAGAACTGACCAGGATGTGTCCACCAGTCCGGTAGCATTATTGAGAAAGGCCAGCTCCTCGAACGTCCGGATGTCGGAATGTTTGGACGCCAACTGCACATAGTCTGAAAACGCCCGAGAGACTGGGTCCCTAACGACAACTATAAGTTTTATATGTTTGGCCATTCGGTGCACTTTTTCAGGGACACCTTTAATGACGTAATAACTAGGTGTTTTCTCTATGGTCAACTGGCTGCTGAGTGTTGCTGGCATCTGTTTCCTGAAAAATACAAAGAGAAAAAGACAAATTATAGATTATTGATGAGTCCAATAAAGTGAAACTACTCAACAACGTCAATTAGTTACCAAGACCAGGAGTGGTTGTGACGTCACGCTATCTAGTGTATCATACATTGACCAAAACATTTAGTTATGATGCCTAAATGGAGATATTTACCACTGCATTCTGACATGTCAGCCTTGTTATTGCTGTACCCTTTGGCCCGGTGCCGGTTAAGCTAGACCTGTTACCCCTACATCCCGAGTGTTCGTGGTCAGGTCTGTTAAACATATGGTAAACACGTCACAGGTGCTAGAAAATTGTTTTGGTTGGTTTAAATAACATCTGTATTATTACACTTTTCCCCACGATTTTATACTCAAAGTATTTATTCCATGCCTTAAGACTTCTACTTTTGCCCTACGTAAGATATACGGTGTCTTCTTGTTCAAAAAGAGTGTCATAACAGTTCAAGTTTATTATGTAAAATATCCTGAAATACTACACACAGAAAAGCTACAATAAGGATGACTGCACGCATTTGACAATCTACATCGGTCTTAATTTCCCTTGCCTGTCGTTATTGTCAATATTCAGGGTTGTGTCTTTAAATTCCGTTATCAAATAAGCTGGACCCGTATCCATAAACCATTTTCATGCTCAAAACAAGACTGTATGCTCAAGTTCAATTCCTTGTAAGTGATAAAGTATTTCCATTTAAATTAACATTTTGTAGGTACATGAGACTTGTAACTGTGGACTATTCCCTGATGGTCTATCCCGTCACAAGATATCGGTTAGTTACAAGAAATGTGATAAAACACATTAACGTTAATTTTAACATTAGAACATGCAGTTTCAGATACATGAATGAAGGCTTTCAATGGTTATAACATGTAAAGTAGAAACAAATTACTCCCAGAGTGTCAATATATTAGGACAAAATGTACCACGTCGTCAACAAACAAGGACAAAATATACAACAACGTCAACACACAATGAGAAAATACACCATAACCTAACACACGAGGGCAGAATATAGGACAGCATAAACACACAGACAAAATATACAACAGCGTCAACACACAATGAGAAAATATACCATAGACTAACACACGAGAGCAGAATATACAACAGCGTAAACACACAATGAGAAAATACACCATAACCTAACACACGAGGGCAGAATATAGCATAGCATAAACACACACAGACAAAATATACAACAGCGTCAACACACAATGAGAAAATATACCATAGACTAACACACGAGGGCAGAATATAGCACAGCATAAACACACACAGACAAAATATACAACAGCGTCAGCACACAATGAGAAAATATACCATAGCCTAACACACGAGAGCAAAATATACAACAGCGTCAACACACAATGAGAAAATATACCATAACCTAACACACGAGGGCAGAATATATCACAGCATAAACACACACAGACAAAATAAACAACAGCGTCAACACACGAGGACAAAATGTACAACAGCGTCAACACACGAGGACAATTATACGACAGCGTCAACACTCAATGACAACCTATACAACAGCGTCAACACACATGTACAAATTATACGACAGCGTCAACACACGAGGACAAATTATACCACAGCGTCGACACACGAGGAAAAATTATACGCCAGCGTCAACACTCACTGACAACCTATACAATAGCGTCAACACACATGTACAAATTATCCGACAGCGTCAACACACGTGGACAAATTATACCATAGCGTCAACACTCAATGACAACCTATACAATAGCGTCAACACACATGTACAAATTATACAACAGCGTCAGCCCACAATGAGAAAATATACCATAGACTAACACACGAGGGCAGAATATAGCATAGCATAAACACACACAGACAAAATAAACGACAGCGTCCACACACGAGGACAAAATATACCACAGCATCACCACACGAGGACAAATTATACCACAGCGTCAACACTCAAGGACAACATATACAACAGCGTCAACACACATGGACAAAATGTACTACGTCAAGGACAAAAGTGACGATACTACAACGTAAACACAAAAAGACATATACATCAAAATTAAAATACACATAGTGAAATTCACGAACTTGTATTGGATGGCCTGAAAACTAGCTGTATTATTAGATTCACCAGGCAGTAAGAAATAACAAGCTATTTCAGCACCATATGCGGCCCCCATCATACGAAACCTACAAAAGAATGTAGGTTACAAGCGATCTGAAACGGGGAAAAAACAATAAACACAATTCATATCAGATCATATCATGATGATCACATTTTAGCGTAAATTGACATCGCTCCGATAGAAAACCCTGGCTATGTAGCGTATTGATCAACAGGAAGTACGCTCCTTAACTTAAGGAAATTTCTTTGACTTTTATTTTTGCAACGTGGAAAATAGTTCTGAAAAAAACCACCGGTTCAGATTTTTTTTTATTATTTTCAGCAATGTTTTCCAATTGAAAAACGTCAGTTCAGAAACGCTCGTGAAACTGTGACAATGCTCTGGAAAAGGAAATAACGATGACATGTATGGTGCTACTGAGAAAAGGGGCAAAAATAACGATCTGAATCAAAGAAGTGACTTTGTCCTAGAATATCGTTATAAGGTGACTCTTAGTGTCATACATCCCCGATATCCAGGGGTTATGAGCGTAGGTGATCGTAACCCGTGGAAATCGAGGATGAGTGTCATAATGCAGGTGCATGTATTTAGGTGAAGCTGTGAAGCTAGCGAAGTGAGGTAACTGTCTTTAATACCAATTTAAGAAGAATACATGAGATGCAGTAAGTTATGAAAATTGTTTATATTCTTTGACAAACATCGTAAATGCAACTTTTAATATCATTTCAATAATTTGGCAAGTGAGTTTTCTTCATATTGTCAATAGCCCTGGTATAACCACCAACGTGGTTCTCATTTCGTCCCTATTTTTATAGGAAAATGCACAGAAAAGTATAACTGTGTTGGCTACTTAGGACTTTCTTGTGTTAGGACTTTTTCGTGTTTGGACTTTCTCGCGTTAGGACTTTCTTGTGTTAGGACTTTCTCGTGTTAGTCTTTCTCGCGTTAGGACTTTCTCGTGTTATGACTTTTTTGTGTTAGTCTCGTGTTAGGACTTTCTTGTGTTAGTCTCGTGTTAGGACTTTCTCATGCTAGGTCTTTCTTGTGTTAGTCTCGTGTTAGGACTTTCTCATGTTGAATGGTACGCACTCGTGACTAGTGGCTACTTTTCAATGCTTAACTGAAGGTTGAGACTAAATCTGAAATACCCTCCTTTATTAACCACTTATTTTGTGGTTATTTGACAGTTTGTGTGGATGCCAGTAATAAGTTATGTTAGTAAAACTCTGTGGATTGGTTTGTGACACTACCTTACCGTCGAGGCTATAGTAACATATACAAAGTACCTTTCCCAGTATCCCATACCGACGAAATTGTCTTTATTGAGTAAGTACATGTGACAGGGCGGACAACATTAACGCTCGGCCAGCCACTTTGGAGTATAGTGGTTATTGTGTTTTATCGCGGTATGTCTTGATACATCCCTGTTCCTGCTTCCGCCAAGTGTCGCAGAACTGCGATAAAACTTAGTCTCCTGAGAGCTGCTGCCATTATAAAGGATGCTGTAGCCATTTGGGGCCATCAGCCATTCGTGTGTATATCTAATACCATTACCGATCAAATAAAGCTGATGCGACAATATCATGGGTAATATAAGTGATGTTATATAATTTCTCCTATTGTCCCAATAGTGTTATTGCATTTCATTCTAACGTCATCCGTCCCCAAGGTAACTACAGTAGACCCCGACCCCACATAATATAATAGACGGCCTCGCTGTCGAGATGACTTTCTTATCTTCGGATAAAAGATATATTTTCGAATTTATTTAATTTAATTATTGGACAAACCATTGGTCTGTCTGGTTTTTATTACAATGGACAGTGGTAAATGAGACCTTGCTATCAGACGTTGAAGTTGGTGCTTCCTCCGCATTCAGACAAATTGATATTGAGTTATGTCACGTGCCAAGAAAGTGATATAGTGCTACGAGGATGACCGTTACCCTAATCACAAGGAAAGTCTCGGGTGTGATCACATGCTTGAATTAGAGCATTATGTCCCCTCCTCCCCCTTCATGTCTGAATAAACCGTTTTACATATTACATATCACCATAAATGTTAAAGAGATGCACTTCAACCTTGAGCAACAAAGAAAAAGTCATTTTTATCTTTCTGTGTGCTTTCGTTTGGTTCAAGATAAACTTAAATACCAAATGACAGACGGCTGTTTTTGTGAGGACAATATCATGTTTCTATGGTTATTATTTTCAACAGGCGTCACGCGTTATTCAGGAAATCATTCTTGAAATACCGTTGGAATTTGACGTCAGTACATGTCTGGTCTCTAATTACTGGCTTTGACGGGGAAAGCCGACTGAAAAAAATTACGCTGAATTGGAGTTCTTGGTATTACGCTTTCATATTGTTTTGAAAGTATTATTTTCTACATGCTATATAATGGAGAGGTAAATACATAGATATAGTATCATGTTTTCCATTTAATAGCGTTTCCATTACACGAGTAAAATACAAATGATATTCGATGAGAAACCATTCAATATGTTGTTTATTACCTCTATGGCGTCACAATCAAAGACAATGCCAAACGCACACATTTTAAGCTTTCCCATTGGTTAGTTTATATCTGTTGGTTTTGTAATCGGTATTTTTATTGATTAAAACCCAAGAAAGTGCAAATCATTTAGTAAATTGACTATTTTCCATTCCAATGAGAACTATCGCATTGACATATTCATAACCACTATTTCGCGTCATCAGTCAATAATTATTCAATGTAATATCTTAGACTTGCCAGCCATGCAATGTATTTTATAATGTTCATGAATCTATGTGATAATATGTCTTTAATCCGGAACGTACTTGTTAAATATTATATTTCCGGTT